CCCCAAAACCCCAAAACCCCAAAACCCCAAAACCCCTATGTAGATATTTTTTATAGAATTTTATAATTATGGATAAAATTGATAAAGAAGGCAGGCATTCAGATTTTGGGTGTCAAGCGAGGCTTTGTTGCGATGAGGAGCTGGTGGTAGATAATAGGTTTAGAGTTACTTTAAAAAAGAAGCTTCCTAAAAAAGTAAGAGAGTTTATTTAGTCAAATTTTTGTATAAAATATTTATAGTACAAAGAAGAAATCTGAGACAGGATAAAAAGATCAATGCCCCAAAAATTCCCAAATAAATAACCTACAAAGTATTTATCTTCTAACTCCTAGTCAAGCATAAGAGAAACAGTAGTGTATGGTACTTCTGCATTTTTATTTTTAGAATCCCTGCTGTCTTCGGTGCAATCAATGAATACCTAAGTTCTTAATGCCAAGATTGATTCTTCTTCAGAGACTTCCATGGCACAAGCATCACCTCCCAAGGTGACTATTAGGTTTCCTTCTCCTAAGTATCAAAGTCCAGTCCAAATACCTCAGCAGCCGGTCGTGGCCAAGCCACAAGAAGACAGGTACATATAGTGTTAAAACCTACAAATGAGCATTTAGTTGTTTAAAACAAATTATGAAAATATATCAGTGATGATCAATTAAATGTAGCCCTTCTTCAATAAAACATCACACAACACTATCTACCATGACTCTCCAACTACCCAAGATCAACAGAAAGTAAGCAATAACCAATTATCCTCAATAGCTCACGAGTTCCTCTCCACAACAGGTACCCTCCTTCTCACTGTCAGGAACCACTTCCGATCCCAAAGAGATCACTCCACTTACAATTTCCCACACAAAAAGCGCCCCAGCCAGCTTCAGGCCAAGCCAAAGTACTCCCTTTCCAGTAGATTTCATGGTGAGATTTTATAGTTGTTTTAGAAGGAATTTTTGGGTTTTTAGTGGATTTTTGGGAATTTTAGGAAATTTTTGGGTAAATTGGGGATTTTGAGGGATTATGAGCGGTTTTTAGAGGAAATAAAGGAGAGTACACATACGGAAAGGATTAATATGAGGGATCTTCTTGAAGTTAGTGGTTTGCGGAATTTTTAGAAAGATGAAAAGAGTATAAAGAATACTTTTTACAGAAAGAAACGATATGAGGTATGATAGGGGCTTATAAGGAAGTTAATCCTTGATGAGGAGACTATAAGTTTCTAAACACCTATGAACAGAATGATATTAGAAGTTCTATAAGCTTTCAAATCCCACCTTCATTGGTATAAAACTATTTCCTATTATAGAGCATACTTTAGATCCTTTAGGATCTACGAAAACGATTTTTCTTTTAGAAATCTAAATGCCTATTTTTTAATATATGGGGGTCTTTCTGAGCGTCTAGTAATGATTTGACTTTTAGCAATCACTCCGAATTCTAAAATAATATATCCCAACTATGTTAAAATTATAGTTTGCAGTTATTATTAGATTTAATAACCTCATTTTTCGCTTGATGCATAAGAGCAAATTCTTTATCAAATTTTGATAAAGACTATTTTAAATTTCTAATAATGACAAATAGTATCTGAAGAAGCAGTAAGAAAATTAGTGACTCTTAGGAAAAGAAGTGTAGTAAAAGAAGGAAGTTTGAAAGGTAGATTTACTTATTCATTAACCCAGATTCTCAAGCTAGTATTTCAAGTAAGCCTAAAAAATCTCAGAAACGCAAGAAATATAAGTAAGAGATTGATCAGACCTCTAGGATGCATTTTAAGAGGTTCAGTATTCCTGGACCATCAGCATTAGGAAAGTATGCACAGGAATTTCTTGGCGAAAAGTATCCTAAACAACCAAATAAGTAGCTTTTGCAATCATATTAACTTTAAAGGGGTTTTGGGGTTTTGGGGTTTTGGGGTTTGGGGGTTTTGGGG